CCAGTTCCTCGACCTGGGTCAGAGATCGCTCCATGGCTCTGGACTGACTGATCTCTACCCTCGACCGTAAAAATAAGGCTGACACTTGGAGACTCCAGTTCTTTGGGTACTGAAGGAGTGCAACAAGGAATGCCTTTGTTTCTTCGTCCAGTTGTAGATCTTCAGCTGCAGACCTTCTTTTATGGGTAATCATAGCAAGTAACAATGCTTGTTCTATTGGTCTTAAATCAGGAATAACATCCTCATCTGTATCCTTAAACTTGAATCTGTGAAGACGGGTATCATCATTCAGAATAACATCCTTGGGCAAGTCAACAGGTAGAAGACGGTCCCCTGGAAGTTCCCCCTCCATGATTGGGCGTCCAGGGTACTCTACCTTCACAACCAGTTGTGGAAGGTCATGCTGCTGCCACTTTGTTCGCTTGCCAAGTGCCCCTGTCAAAGTAGCCTTTACCTCTAGTGAATCCGCTGCTTTTTGGAAGTGATCCCCTGCTCTTCCTACATCATAGTAGTAGAGGTGAAGGTGACCAGCTTCCAAATGATAGAGAGCGTTTAGGTCTCTTGAGATGTTTCTGCTCAACAAGTCTGGGTTGTTCTCTACCTGATTGAGAGCTTGAAGCAGAATTTCATACAGCTGTGGGGATCGTTCATCTGCTACCAATTGATGCAAGAGTGAACAACGGACGCACCACCAATCTACTGTTAGGCACGTTGAAAGGGAAGAACGCATGTCTGTTAAAATGAGCTTAGCCAGCAAGAGATACTCTGGCCCATGCAGCAAATTATAAACACCTTCTGTATCACCTACTAAAGCCTCAAGGGCTTCTTCTCTGACCTCTTCTTCATTCTTACCCTCTGGAATGAGCCCAGGTAACAAAGAGCTTGATGCAGGACCAATCAGAGGCCCAGTAAAGTTGTTTTGCGCAAATAGCTGAAGCGACGATATGCCAATGCAAAGCACAATGTGTTCTTTATGAGGCGATGATCCACTGTCACCGAGATAAGAAGACAATATGGACCTGTAATGTTCTGTGACTGAAACAGTGGCTTCCCTTCTTGAGCTTGCATTAGCCCCTAGCGCCTGCTGACATTCTTGGTCCTGAAGAGCTGCTACATAGCTTCCCACTGACACAAGCTGACACACATTCTGCCAAGCATCACCTGAAAATCAACATTACAAATTAGGAATGCGATAAAAAATTTAACTAAAATCATATAAAGAAGTGACAATCATCCATACTAAATCATACTAATCAATCATACTAATTTAAGATTTCTAAAAATTATTTCTTCTATGACAAAAGTCATAAATCTAAAGATTTTTTTCTCTTTTAAAAATCTATGTTTTAATTATCAGTGTCAAGGAGTTTTATTTACTTTATAAATCATAAAGCTTTCTTCCTTTCACTCAGAGACAGCTATGCTATAAAAGAAAGATGAGTAAAATTATGGATTTGAGCAAACAAAAAATACATTTATGCAAGTATCTTTAGGCAGAACCCGCCAATCCCTTGCTTATTGTTGCCAATGGGGGGGGGGGGGGCTTAGGAGGTGGAGACTGAGCCCCAATGTAGGGATCACCTCTGCCTTTAACCTCAGACCTCGCCTCACCTAAGTTTGCAGGGTCTTTTCTTTTCCCTCTTTCCTTTTCCTTCTCTTCTTCATCCCCTTCTGTCCACTTATCCAAATCATTAACTCAAATACTCTTTTAGCCACAATACTCTACCATAATGTTGGGAAGCCTTTGATGCCTGGGACTTTTGTTTCTTTTGACATTGACCATTCTGGAAATCCACCAACATTGCCTTACTGAACCAAAAAACTTTACCTGGGGGCTTTGCCTATTGCCATATTTTGACCTTTCATGTTGACATTATTGAAAATTTTCAATAAATAAATAAATCTTCAGGCATAATATGAAGATGATAAAAAAATAATACCTAATTCACTATAACAGCTGCTAAAAGAAATCACAAAAATATTGTTGTCTAATACATAATCTTATAAGTTAAAACATTATAGATTTCAGAAATGTTCTTCAAAATCATAATGAATAATAAAAGTTCAGTATTCTATGAGGTAAGACTCACCAGCCAATTGACCCCCTCCCCCCCTGCATCCCCAGGAATGGAGAATTAAAATACTCCCAGATGAGAGCTAAGGGTCCTATAGAAAAATAAATTGCTGGTTACACAAAACTTCAACCTGTAGTGCAAGTCCCTACATTCCATACCATCATTCTGAACCACAAATATTCTGGGATCCTATTGCATTTTATTTATTTTATTTACTTATTTATTAATTCATCATTATTATTATTTTTATATTTTACTTTCATCTATCACATAAATCATCGATATATTTACATTCATGCACTCTAACCTTGTTATTGTAGTACATTAATGTGAACATATTGTTGCTAATATTATAGTAAACAGTTTAAACTAACAAAATATTTGATAAATACAATTTCAGGCAGTTGATCTGACACCTTTGGTTG